AAGACAAAGCAAAGATTCAACACTAGATGAACCCCAAAGAGAAGAGACCCATGAGTCAAGAGCCTGTCATCACAAAGAAGCACACAAGACCTGGCATCTCAAGGAACAAAGTTTATAGACTTTACAAAGATGCAACACAACATTCTTTCTATCAAGAGTCTTGTGTGTGCCACCAGGGCTTCTGTTCCATAAAGGTGACATGCAGGCCACTAGTAGTGATATTTAGTATTTAATATATCTCATTTTCCAAGACTATAAGTTCCCTAAGGATAGACTTCATTCTAGTTTCATTCCCATGCCTACAAAGGCATACAACTGATTCAAAGCAGAAAATCACTAGTTTCTCTGAGCATCAGGATTGGAGGCCTAGATTATATACATGCTTCTGTAACACAATGGCATTATTTCCTTTCCACTGTAAGATGAAATGTGTTTGCCTCTTCACAGGCCCAAGAGAAGGGCACACAAGGATTAGGGGGAAAAGATCAACAGTCACAGAAGAATTATTCTGGACATCCTTTCTGCCACTTGGAAAGAACAAACATTCTTTCTAAAGGAATAGCATGATTCTCTTAAATTTCAGTCACACCCCAGATTGAAGTTTTCCCAAGCCTCACACAGCAGTGGCTGGCATGTGTGGCTTCTTGGGACTGGAGGTTAGTATAGGTAGAACACCTGGCATAGTGCAGGGCATTGAGGACACCTATGACTGCCAGCTTCTGTCTCATTAACTTGAAGACCACATAGATTAATGTTATAACATGGAGTAAAGTGCATAATGTCACAAGGTTTAGTTTATTTTGAAGAATCTATAATACCTTATCAATTAGCTCCCTTGTGATTAAAGTTCTACTTCATGCCATTCTAAATTTTAAAAAATTATTATGTTTAATGACCACTGCTTTACTTGGACAGTGCTGATTTACTATCAACAGATAAATGAATACACTATAATGAAGTAAAAAGTACCTCTACTAATTAGTTTGATATGCATTAATAGGTATTCTTTACAAAGGTTCCAATAGTAGAAGCATATAGTTTTTCTCACTGACTAAAATTGGTCAATCTTACACCTATAATTCTGCTCTGATTCTAAAATTGTGATAAGGACAATGGTAAATACAGTATTTTGTTTGGCCCTTTGAATAAGTAGCAGGAACATATACATGATACACACATTTGCAAAAATTTAAGACCCATCCTCTCATCCCTTAAATTTTAGATAAATAGTGTGGTCAAAATCAGGAAGGCCTATGAGGCTATAATGTGGCCACTGTAATGGAATATATTCTTTTACTGCTCCCCTTCACACACTGGAGAAATAATTTATTCAGGTATTCAAACAAAAGTAAGATGTCATATAACTTACAAATGATGCATTTACTATGTCTCTGTTTCCAACTAATTACAGTCTTGCTGGGGAGCTGATGATACCACAAATGGAGAGCCTGGCAAAAACAGTATATACCACAATGCTCAATCGAGCTCTTCTCTGACCTATGTGATAGTTTTTCAGTAATTAGATGAAGACATATGTGTTCTATGGAACTTTAGGACTGCCACGAAGTTAAAGAAACAGAAACTAAATTAGAGGCCAACACATGATTCAAAGATTTTAACTGAGTAAACTAAAATTTACCACGATGAAGTTTAGATTCAGAACAAAAAAATGTTCAAAATAATAACTACAGTAAAACCACTTATAATAACTAAGTTCTATCTTTATGAAGCAATTTAGAAAAGACATGCACTTTAAATTCTCATCACTGCCCTATAAGGCAGATATCAGTCTTGTTATTTACCTGAGGCTCTGTTATAATAAGTAATTTTGATGAGGGTCACATGGATAATATGTGAGAGGTTAAAGTTTAAACCAGAGTTGATTTATTTTCCATTACACCATGATTTTATTTTACTTCATACAGACAAGCCTACTGTAAGAAGAAACATGGTAAATGTGCCAATAGAACAAATGAATGGAGCTGTAGAGGTCTTATGTTATCCCAGAGTGTCTATTAGAAGGTATGAATACTCAGTAGGAAAATATGACAGGGATGCCTTAGCCCAGGGACCATTTCTCCAGACCTCCAGGGCTCCAGAGCTCTTAGTGCTGCCAGAAGCATGTGGGTAAGTGTGCTATCAAGGAGCACTGATTCTCACACTTCTCATTGCTACTACAGTACATGAATGTGTTGTAAAACCAAGCTGCAGCTTACTCAGGGCAAATCCACAATCCTATTTACATCACATGGGGCATTATTTGAGCCCCAAGGAAATGGAAAACCACCTTTTACTTCCAAATATTTAAAGCTATGAGAAGTTAACTGCTATTAGTCTAAGTAGAAAAAAGGGCTAGCATGTATCATTCATTCTTTCCTACTCGTTTGTAATCAAAGTTTGGAGGCAGAATAACACATGAGTCTTCCCATAAAAAGATACATCACAGAATGAAAATTCCCTTATTCCAAGATGAACTTTCTTGGCCTGGCAAAGTATTTTCCTGGAACATATCTATTAAGAATGGTGGCTTTGGATACTGCATCCTAAGTTTTTCAATAATAACATGAAAAAGACTAACCAGCTGTGTGGGCTTCTCTGTTTCTGGCAAAAGCAAAATAACTCACTGGAAAGACTTCAAAAATTTAAATTTTTAGAAGCAATACAATTCTTCATTTCACATTTTAAAAAGTGCTAGAGGCATACAATCATTCATAGGAAGCAATCTTGCAGTAATCAAAGGACAAAGTAGGACCTCTATCTCTTGAGGTACAGTGTAAAATGCAAACGGAGATGGGCAGAGTGGTGAGAAGATGGACAAGGAGGGGATTATCCATTCATGCAGTGCTCAGAGCTGCATCTGGCTTGCATCAATAGACTTAAAATGTATGTCAACACTGAAATGTTCTAAGGCACTGGCTTATGCTTCCTAAAGCCTCTGCTGTTTATCACTGAAGAAAACTAAATGATGTAGCATAGTCTAACCAGTTCTCTAGGTAACTGCCTGAAGTGTCATAAGAGGCAGGAAGCAGAGTGATCTAAGGTGGCCACAGTTCATGGAGATGGGCACTTGTTGAGATGAGAGGGAGGATTGAGGGGGGTGGCTGTGAGTGAAGGGAGAACCCAGGGACTATGGGTGGCCTACAGCTAGGACAAGGCTTTATGCAAAGGGCAGCTGGAAGGAAAATGAAGTGTTTTTAAATTAATCTCCTGGCTCATGTTCATCAGCATGTTGATCAACACCTATATCACCTGCAGTTCTGGAATTCCTCTTGCCCTTGCCTGCTGAACCTGGGGCTTTCTCTCTCCAGATCCCATGGCTTGAAGCATACCTACACCTTCCTTCATTCACATCTACTCTGTTAATGGAGCAAAGGAACTTTAATTAACATTGGTGTTAAAGCGTTTTTACTTGAAAATACAGACGTTCTTCATTTAACGACCCATTTGTAACAACTGTTGAGACTTATGACCCATCTTTTTTATGGTACAGTTCTGTATAGCTTGTTTATAGAGCCTCAATGTATTTTTTGTACAGCACACCTTGTTTATATAGTACTATAATTATCGGTGCTTGTACTGTATAATACAAAACTATAGTTTTATGTTCTCTCATACATTTCACTAGTGCATCTAAGAGTTATACAAATAAAAGTAAAGTTATCAGGCCGGGCAAGGTGGCTCACGCCTGTAATCCCAGCACTCGGGAGGCTGAGGTAGGAGGATCCTTGCGAGTTCAAGACCAGCCTGGGCTACAAAGTGAGCTCAAGGCCAGCCTGAACTTCATAGTAAAACCCTGTCTCAAAAAAAGACTTAAAAAAAGTAAAGTCATTAAGTTGGAGTTTCATTTGACATTTCTTTATTCTGAATATTGTACCGTACATATCATCTAGGTTTCCTCATCCAGTGTCCAGCTCAGTTAATGACTCAGTCACAGGAATAGAACTCGTTTATCAAAAATGAAGAATGTCTGAATCTCTGCTCAAGTAGACTACATTGTCTTGAACCAGGCAAAAGTACTACTTAAAAATTCTCATCCAACATTTCTAAGACACTGCAAAGAACTCTCATACGATTACTTCACTGATCCTCTCAGCAACACTGTGAAATAAGCATGATTATCCCTATTTTTCCAAAGGAGGAAACAGAATGAGAGAAAAACACTTGCCCAAACTCTCCTTACTAGTAAGATACTAAGGTCAAACTGGAACTCAAGTTTGTAAGAGCCTATATAAGTGCTATTTCTATTTCAGCACAGTGTCTCTGAGGATAAAAGATAAACACTTAGATTTTTTTCCCCCTGTTGTAGCCTATGGACAAATGACACATTCCCATTATTGTGCTAAACAGTAAAAAAGTTTCTCTGTGGTATAAATTAACTTTTATCAAAACCTCTCAGTTCAATTCTCTACCTAAGAGTCTCCACAAAGTGCTCAGAAAATTGTGCCAGGTTCCATTTTAGATTATAGTACTTCTGAAATAATACACTCCGCTATTATATCCCAGGAGGCCGGGTTTGAAAGGTGACCCAAGAGGACAGGAAAGCAGAGATTAGATCTGATCACTGCATAGTATCCTTATGACAAAGAACACTTTACAGTTAGTGACCAAAGTGCAAAATTCAGTTACTAGCAATTTGGCTGGGACTCCAGAATATAGTGGTCTTGGCCTCAGACTGTTCTTCCTGTGTGTGGGGTCTTTGCTAATGTGCTCACCTCTTTATAAGCAATAGTAACGTTAGTTTTCTGTTACTGCTATTTATTTCTCTTCAATTTCTGGAAGCAGAACTGCTCAGCAGTTCATCAATTTTTCTTGATTTAAAATTAGCACAGGTCAAAAATACTAAGAGATTTCCTAATAATTTTCTTCCTAATGGAAAGTGCAAACTTTTGTTATTCAATCCTGAATATGCCTAGTATTTTTGTGGTCCCCATATGGAAGCCATACAGGGCAGAAATGACTCACAAATGAAACATTAAAGAGATTAAAAAAACTATACTTACTTAGGAGAAACTCGTGAAACTGTGTTCACATTGGTGGCTGGGACTACTACTTGAAGGATGTGTTCAAGGGCTGTTAATCCACCAGCAACTTGAAATGCAATCTGATCTGCCACATTCTAGATAGAAATGTAAACAGAAGTTAGCCCAACTTCCCAGGCATAAAATTATAACCAAATGAAATATTTAGTTTTACTATAAAACATTCGGTTGGTTCAGTTACTCTGCAAATACCTGTCAAATGATTACTCAGTGCAAGGAAATGCAGGTTACTAGTGTGAATATAAAGACATGTCACTGTCCTTTGCTAAGCTTAAAATTCAGTGAACAGGACTAATGTTCAGTAATGTGATTTTAAATTCCCCATGGGAATAAAAGGAGAACCAATTACTCTTTTGGGAAAGGGTCAGAACAAGTTTCTCTGTGTAAGATCTCAACACTGGCAAAAGAAAAGTCAGAGGGAAAAGTCATTTTATGCAGAGATTTTTAGCAAATAAAAATCACAAAATGTAGTATTAATTTTCATCTTAGTTCCACTAAGTTACACAAAGATTCTGATAGAATGATTTTATCTAGTTATACATGGCAATCTAATCACCACTTTTTTTCTTCACATTTCAGTTATTTTTGGGAAAAAATTAAGTAACTATTTTAGAACCTGGCCTCTGATGATTTGTATACAATTTCCAAACTGTGTTTAATTCCTATGAGAAGGAAGTTCTATATGTTCTTTGCATTCTTTGGGCCTGGGGAAGAGAAGAACAATTCCATGCTACCTTACTTCAGTTTTGAAGCCTAGGCAGAATCAATCCATCATGTGTAATTTACAGTTCTATAGTTCACAAGGACAGGGCATTGCTTTGAAACACTAATGACTTTTTAAGATTTTTTTTAATAGATGGGATGGATGTGATATGAGGATCAATAGCTACAGTCAAACACCTGTGTCTGATTCTCTGATGTTCTGAGCTCATAACCTGTCAATCCACTGTGCCAGTGTATGTAGGGGGCCTGCAGCATGACTAGGTATGTGTCATCTAATGCTCTTCCTCTGTGCGCAGTAACATACATACACAACTAGACAAATACACACCTTAAAATTAAAAATTAGTAACTTTGGGCTGCGCATGTAGCTCAGCAGCACTCAGGTCCTGAGTTCAATTCGTGGTTCAAAAAAATTAGTAACTTCATTATTAATGAGAAAATGTTGATTTGCAATAACACTAAAAATCAGAAAATTGTAAGACCCAGATGGTTTAGTAATTTATTTAAAACTATAATGCTGTCACTATATTCTTTCTTTTTATGACAGGATATAGTTAGAAAATAATAGCCTTTGTATTATCACATAATATGTACAGTGAAAATTGCACAGTTTATAATCCTACAGCTGAATGAGTTATAGCCAACTGAATACTGGACTAACTCCAAAATTAAAAAAGAAAGCTCTGTGACTTGCCACAGCTGCCTAGAAGCAACTCCATTCATTATTTTTATCCCTCTTCCCTGATGGAAAGGTTACTCTGACTTTTAAAACTATGATTTTTGCTTTCTTTTCAAATCTGTATGAATCATACTTTATATATTCTACAATATCTACCTTTATTATCTCACTGTTTATAAGTTCATCCATGTGGCTGCCTATAGTACCACTTCACTCATTTTTTCTTGCTGTGCTGTATTCCATCTGCAGCCAAGCCACTGCCACCTGAAACAACCACTTGTTTGAACTCTAGTTTGGTCTATTATGGAATTTCATGCAAATGCTATCATATAGTACATATGTATATTTTCTGGACTCAATTTGGTAGTAAACATTTATTGCTGGTAGTTACCAGTATCAGGCTTGAGGTACCATCAAAGCAAATGAAGTCTACAGAAAATGATAAGGTGATTCTGCATCAAGGAATTAAATACCTAATATACCTTCTTTCATCTTAACCTCAAGCAAGAATTATAGATGAAATATATAAGAATACTAAAAATGCATTACTACATTAAAAATAAAATCTCTTTGAAACAGGAATGGAGAAGCTATAGTAATACACAGGCAAGGGCCCAACTTCTAGCAGACTGCAAAATACATTTGCCTTCTAGACACTTTCTTCTTCCCTGCTTTCACACTGCTCCAGCTCCATAAGAAAGAGCCAGGCTTTCCATCCTCCATCTGCTACAGCCCTTGGTTCTTGCCCTCTGCCCATTCTGGCTGCATCTCCCATCAGCTCATGAGCTTAGGTTTTCAGTCTCTCATTCGACGTATCACAGCAACATCCTAAATAGCTTTTTGGGTTTCAGGCTCAACTCAACTAGCTCACACTCTAAAGCACTGTTTCCCAAACTCTACATTAAAAGTTAGTTTTAGTTTTTAAAGTTTTTATTCTCTAATACAGCAATACTTTTGTGAAGTGTAATGCAAAAGAAATACTGGACAAAATAGGGAAAGAAGGATGCATTACACAGGAGCTTAGATTTTAAAATATTTGATATAACAAGGCAGAAAGTTATTCTGTCAATGTGTTAGAACCTACACTTGATGTATGTGTTTATCTCATCCAGGAACCAGTTCTTGGCACTGGCTGGAAGACTCTATGTAGCTTTTCTGTGGATGCTTGCAGATGCAATGGGGAAAGTTTCAATAGTAAATGTGATCCTGGCTCTCTTTACTCAAATACTCCAATTTTTCCTGTCTACAGAATGAGCCATGTATTCTCGAACGTGCCTTCAGAATCTGAATCCTCTCTAACAAGCTTCTTCCCTGAAATGATCACATTTCTCCTATGACAATGTTCTGTTGTGATTGTCCAGCTTTTCATCTCTGTCTTCCCAATGCACTCTGAGCTTGCTGAAGGCAGACTATGACTGCTTCATCTCCCCTACTCCGACATTTAGCAAAGGCCTACACGGAGTGAGCTCCCAGTTAGTGGTTGCTGAGTGACAGCTCGAGAAAGTGAATGGACAGAGATATTTCACATGATTTTTAACTGTGGAAACACAGTCAATAATGCATCAGGGATGATCCTAAGATAAAATCTATTCCTTGCCTGATAGGATGTTTCTTCACTGGAACTGAACTACATGATCAAAGAATGGGTCTGTTCTTTCAAGTTGAAGGACAAATACCTCCTAACAAAATGAAGGAAGGAGCTCAACTCTCCTCTCCTACTTCACTGCAGTGTAACATCTTTATGTACTACATCTCTGAACTTGAAATCAAAGTGTATCATCCCTCCAGCTCAGCAAACATAACCACTGACCAATGTGTCCACAGTGAGCAGTAGCACCCCTACTGTTCCCATGGACATCTCCACAGTCGGAGGGCACTAGGTTCACACTCCAGAAGTGGAGGGGAGAAAACTGAGTAAAAGCAGATCATTTTAATGTATACATCTATGCCTGAAAAAAACGCCACAACTCAAAGCCTTTTATGCAGTGCCAACAGCATGGATATGACCTCTTGAAAGACTTGACATAGGGTTTAACAGACACTGAACAGGACAAAAGTCAGCCACTTTCAGAAAGATAAAGGCCATTTGGAGCCACTTTTTTTCAACTAATGCATTATTGAAAATTAAAGTTTTAATTTATAATTTGCAGCTTCTGAAGGAAATAAAGAAAAATGCAAAGCTACTTGTAAAAAAAACTCAAACCTTTTACCACTCCTGCTCCCACACCAAGAAAAGAGGTTCTGACTGTGAGTCCCTCCATATTGGGGATGCAACAAGCCAAGCCTGGACTCTTCCACAGAGCATGGCTCAGTGTCCTCTCAGCTTCTCTTTTGTGTCTCATGCCAACCCTACCAATCCCACTAGTTCCGTGATTTGTCACAGCCCACCTCATTCTGTCCAAAAGCTCCTTAACAACACTGTGACTTATTTTGGCCCTGGTCCTGGCACAGAACCACAATGCTTGAAGGTGAGTGACTCAAAAAAAGAAGAAGAAATCGTTACTTCCCACAGAGAGCACAAAGTTACCATGACATAGGACAGATTAATACAATATAAAGGCCGGTAAGCATAATGAGGGGGAATAACATCCACTGCATCCTATTTCTCAGCATAGCACAGATGAGCAGCTCTGCTGTCTGTCTCTACATTGAATGCAGACAAAACAATCTTGTGTGTCTGAGATGACTTCTTCACCTTACAAGAATGGAAAGGGGAAGTCAAGCTGGCTCCATGATAAGCTGTTTAAATGTTAAAATTAAGAGAGAAATACTAAGAAACAACTTCTCAAGTACAAGCTATTGAACACTTCATATGGAAATAATAAAAAAAATACCATTTATACAACGACTGGGCAGACTTAAGGATGTGGAAAGCCTTAGTCACTTTCTAGAGCGGATCACGTGCACCTCCTGGATGCTGCTCTCCTTCCATTTTTGTACGCTGAATGCCATAGCAGGGTTGAATGCTCCCCAAACTCACAGTTTACACTATTCTCTCTTCTCAATGTCCAGGAAAACAAATACACTAAAGATGCCTTATCACATAAGGGATAATCAAAATACTGTATCTGGTGAGTATTTAAATTTTAAAAAATATTACAATAAAAGATACACTGCCATTAACCTGCCTCACAACACTCCCTCTTGCTTTAAACACACTTATCCTATTGTTTTGGATGTCCTCTTTATCAGGAGGTGTATTAAAAAATATGGTGAATTCTGTTGCCAAGTACCATCCAACAGAAAAGCAGGCCACCAAAAACATGATGCTGTATTCTTACCCACCTTATTCACTGAATTTGGTACCATGTGACTTCTGGCTCTTATTCAAAGTCAAAATGACCGTGAAAGGGAAATGTTTGAACTGATTTAGGACACTGAAGCAGCTATGATAGCTCAACTAAATACATTCATAAAACAGAACTCCATAACTGCTTTAGGAAGTAGCAAGAAGGATGGGATAAGTGTATTCAGAAAGGAGACTAATGGTAACATGTCTTTTCCTTAAAGAATTTTTCAAAGTTTAAACATTTACTGTATATTTCAATTACAGTTATTCTCTGCATCTCAACTTCCAGCCTCTTAACTTGTAATGTTTAAATACTGTCACTCTTTAAGAACCAGATCAAATGTTGCTTCTTTCTGTAAGCCTTTCCTGATCACCTCAATGAAAGT